GAGGACACTGGCTACTGTCGGAGACAGATGCCGGTGCCGTGGCAGTATTATCCCACTGCCAGGGGAAGGCTATTTCCTCTCGTGATGTGTAAACGAGGAGAAGAGGGTAGAAAGAGAGAGTGGCCATAGCGGCAGAGGGAGAGGAGAGTCGAAGACTCTCCGCTTCCGCTTTCGGCAAGTGGCCAGGGACTTCGGAAGATATCCATCTCCGACGGTGCATTTCCTGTCACTCTCCTTGTGACAAGATACCCCGAGGGAGCCATATCTTCCTACACTTTGTATGTGCACACATGGTTGGTTATACTCCTGACAGGTGTCCTCCACCCATACTTCTTTCTCCTTGAAGAATGCCAGGCACTCAAAATTCCTTACCCGCACGTATCTTAACCAGGTACGTACGTAGATTTTTGCCGGAAAAGATCTACTGTATTTATTTCCCCGATCTTCGTATCATATTTGTTCATGTTTGTTCTACAGTAGGTTTCGGATCCTTCCGGGGATTCTGTTGTTCGACTTCCTTCTGCTAAAATATGGAACCCTACAACAGACACACATTCCGCGGTGGCTGGGTTGTACTGCTGTGTTGTCTCGTAGGACCCTCGAAATTGCTGCGTGTGGGTGGTTGTCGATCATTGCCCGGGAGCTCGACGTTGCTTCTTCAACTGGTACATACAGTACAGCAGTAGTTTCTATCGTACACGAATGACAGCCTCACTTTCGCCGTACTCCGTGGATGAACGACGTCGAACTACTGAAGGACAGGAGGAGTGCGTTTTCGCATCAAACGTCGTCGCTGGCTGCTGGCCCCTTCCGTTCCCCTTACAACTGCTGATATCTGTACTGCACCGCTGCTCTATGTAAGAACGTTTGTTTGTGCATGATTCGAGTTTCGCCATCGCCGACACGTTCTACAGCAGTATCCAGAACGCGCCACCACTTTCAATGAACCTCTATTATAGTTTCGGCCAAGGCTGGTATTCTTACTGTATTCCTGCAGTAGGGTCATGCTACGAATGGTCGCTAGTCTATAGCATAACGGTTTTGGCGTACTGTGGGAGTTCTTGACTACTATAACTTGTAGCTCATAAACGGTGCTCAAGTTCTTCCATTGTGATTTTTGTTTTTTTGGCTCAACTACGCAAGTGCGGGCGCGTTCTGTATCTCGATAATTACTGCACCTTCGTCTAATAATCTTTGCATTTATCCCCGCGGGTGTTGTACAGGGTACCAGTACGAAGAACTATCAGCAAGACCCACATCATGTCCCTGCCAGCCAGCATCGTGTTGCCCAGCACTCCGGAGGGAGAGACCGTGCGTAGGTACGCTCTCGGACAGTCCGACGCGTCTTTCTTCGCCGAGGGAGCGGCTCCGATTTTCTCCAAGGACATGGTGTTCAACGGGCTCCTGTTCAAGCTCAAGGGTGCGGCCAACATTGTGCCGTTGTTTGCCGATTTCGTGGCGAACAAGATCAAGGAAGTCAGGTGAGACGGACAGACCCCTCTCTCAGGCGTGTATTGTATATGTACATAATCTTACGTAGCCTACAGTACTGCTGTAGTTTGGTTGTCGCGTAGACTACTGTATGTAGCATCCGATCGGTTGTTGAGGTCATTGGTATACTCATGGAGGCGTGGTGAGGTTCCGCTGCGAGGATTTGCGCTCGTAGACCCCAAATGACAGGTGTACTCTGTAGTAGTGTTGTTGGCATTTTAGCGATGAGTGAAAGGGACTGGAAGCTCCAACTTGGACGTTTTGTGCAAGTGTATACCATTGCGGTGAACACTTGTACAAGAGCGAGACAATCGAAGCAAATCGCACGAACAACAGCCGTTCATTCGAGAAAAAAGAGTTTATCATCTGGTGGTTCGTGGGAAAACGAAGGTGGGACCGACCTTGGCTAAAGCTTTGTGTTGGGAAAACCTGTCGATCGTCGGCATGAATCATGATAGTCAACATGAAGCTTTCTTACGACGTACGTGCCCCGTTCCATTCACACCACCCCCAAACCAGATTCGAGGCGATTGCCGAAGCTGGTTCAAAGAAGAAATACTTGGTGCTCTACTACGTCCGACTTGAGGGCCAAGAGTCCGAGATGCCGTTGGTGGATCTGCTCACGCTAGACGACGACGGCCTCATCTGCCGCCTCGAGAACTGCTTCGACACCACCAAGTGCCCGCAGGAGATCATCGACGCCGGCGCTCCCACGCTGGTTGGGTTCGAGGGGTAGTCTAGAGTAACAGGAGGAGAGATGGCAACCCATCTACGTAGACCGATTGTCAAAGCTCGATTGCTCCACGACCAAGCTTGTGCCGACACCAAAAATTGGGGGTTTTGAATCAAGGGTTTTCCGTACTGTAGAGGTATAGGCCTTTTTCGCACCCCCTTGTTAGTGGAGAATTCAAACTTGAAAGTCGGTGCCGTCTCTCCGCGTCTCACTGCATAGCTTTCGTTGTTTTTGCTTTTGGCTTTGTCGGCGAAAAGACTGGCGTATGTGTTGGAAATATAGAGGAGTTTTCGGTGTGAAGCATGTGCTGTAAACATGACTCGGTACCAGATACTTTTGACTAGTTTGTCTAGACCCTTGAGTATGCCACGATGAAGGAAGGCTGCCCCTCCTGTCCCTGTGTCTCGTTGACGATACTGTGGTAATACGTGTTGAATGTCGAGTGTGGCGTTGTTTGTTCGCGAAGTAGCGCGATGGAACAATGGTTTCGAGTTTAGAGATACCCTGACACTTTTCCAACGAAGAAGACTTGGTTGGTTTGATGCCCGTGAGTGACGTGCGTCAGACGACGACGCCTCGCTGCAATGTCTTGCCTTTTCTTCCCCCACGTAGGGGTGAGAAATCCGCTCTGTCGCCACGCTGTATGTAGGTTGTGTGGAAAATGTGTTGGATTCAGAAAATCTCCAGCGAGAACACTCTATATTCGTGAAAGCACGTTTTCGCATGCATCCGCAGAGCACGGCATGCAGTTTCTAGCTTCTGAGGAGAAAATGGGTGAACGACACAATCATTTCCTGTTGTACCATGCATAATCACAAAAGTAGATGCACAAAGTTCATTCGAGAGAATCTATTACGGAGGAAACCCAGTAGGAACCGGGTTGCCTGTGATACCGACCGTCGTTTCGGACCATTTCTATCTAGGGCCCAGTGAGTGTCACAACAATTTTCGTTCGCTTCCGCGTCTACACCAACTTGTTTCACTGAGGTTGAAACCAAACTTCACTGAAGTCGGACAATTGTCCCGCTTTCAGGCAGCGTGTCGCGAAAATCGATATTTTCATATTTTCCTCCACGTTCGTTCAACTCAACCGGCAAAAGACTTACCAATTTCATTCGATGCCCTTGAAAGCGAGATTTTCCCAAGAATTATACACTGCCATCCATTTCGTACGGGAAATTTCTCGGTAAGAGAGAAACAATTTTGCACACAAGATTAAATGATGTTTAATGTGAATGAAGCGACAACCGCCCATTAACATTTCAACCCATCACGTCCCCACGCCTCAACGTTCCGGAAGAGTTCCCAGCGGGAGACTGGCTTGGGTTATCAAATGCTCGCACTCGCAGGAACGAACGTTTGTTTCCCTTCTCTGCATGTAGCATAGCATCATCTGCAAGGCCGTCGAAGCAACCGCTTCGCGGCCACTCGACGAAAGAATCGTTGGAGGACCATGCCCACGATCCACACTCAAATCATAGTCTGGATCTTCACAAACATCGAATGGTCCACCCCCCAGCGGCTTTGAAGACGCCGATAACATGAGCTATCCACCACCCACCACACACGCACCTCTTCTCTGACGCTCAACCTATTGGTTACGACCACGCACCCATCTCTCACTCCGTTATGCCTGTGTAGCCGCTCAAATTGTGCGGTTTCTACCTAAACGTGGTCAATCACCCTACCTTCGGTTTACCAGCGAGATATATCTCCGTCCCACCGGCGTTGAATGCGATTAAAAGAGGGGGAGCTCACAACCCCCGGATCTGAATGGTAAGTAAGAACGTGCGGTGCTCAGGTGAAGAATAAGAAATCAACGAACAAGGAGTACATAATTGATAGATAAGTAGTTGCTAAATGGACTGCTCCACAGAGGACAACAGAAACGGTCTCTGGGGAAAATGTGAGGTGCATAATGACTGGCACCTTCTGGATACCCGCCGCATTCACATCATCAGTCATGGGGATGTAGGCTTGTGGATGTTGACGATTGTCCCGTATTGATTCTCGAGGAGATGTTGCAGATTGTCGTCGAAACGTATGCCCTCATTTGTTTTTGAGTTGGTGCGTGCTCTCTCCGCAGTGTATCGCGCGAGCAGAGCAAACCGTATGCAGCAATGACCACTGATGTACATAAGCAGAGCACCCGATTGTGCAATCTTAAAGTCACAGGTCAAAGGCAAAACTCAAGTGCTGCGTGTGAGCCTGTACGTGTCCTTTAAAGCTGCAGCGCGGCGTACCAACGCACATGCTGTGCCGCTGGACTCTTAGTACGAGAGGCTTGGCTCTGAGTACGTACGCAGGAAGTCCGAAGGAGAAGAAGTTGGTGGAGATGTAGTTTCTTGATCAGTGGAGACCAGAAACAATGTAGAGAAACAGAGTGAAGCCACAGAGGTGGATCTCTCCAGAGAAGCAGAGGGTGGGAGAAACCCAAAGAAGCAGAGGGTTGGAGAACCCCCAAAAGAAGCAGAGGGTCCCGAAGAGGCAGAGTGAGAGGATGGGGCGAGTGCGCGCTCATCCTCTCAATATGGAATCACACCTATCCGACAACGTCGACCAATCACACGTGTTCAGAATACGGTACTGGCAAGCTACGAGCGTTTCTGGAAAGATGAGTTCAACACAATGCTGTCGAACTTGTGCAACGTATGCACATCAAGTACTTGCACGCACAAGTGATTAGCTGCACTGACATACGACAAAACGCAGAATACAGCTTCAACAATTGAGCTGCTTCAAGTTCGGCTGCTGGGCGATACGAATATTCATTCATTCAAGCACCCCAGTTACTTGCGGCGGTACACATCCTTTCATACACGCAAGTCGAAGATGCTTTCTATAACTGCCCGTTGGATATACGTTCCCGAGCACGCAAGTCTGAGCTACTTGCATCACTGTGATATATTTGTGGAAATCTACATAGATAGACTAAACAGATTATTTCTGGATATGAAACACAGAACATCAACCATGAATGTCTCCTTATTCCGAGTATAACGGATCACACGGAATTTTATCTACGGCACGACATAGAGACATTGACAATATTTGAACTATGTAGTCAAGCTGACTACCTAATGCTGAAGCTACGGTAGTGCCAAATATTCCAACAATCAGCGTCTCTAGCCGAGAAGATACAGCCCTAGAAAAATCATTCATTTGTGGATGTCGATAGAGGGACTTCAAACAACATACAGTAGTAGAATTAGTCTACGCGGGCCGAATATCATAAGGAAGGCCAGTTCATTTCTAACCCGAAACAAGCCCACGCAGGGACAACAACGCCAGCAACGCCCCGATCTAACCTGCCTTGTGTGCACAGCACCCCCAAGGCAATCCTCGTGATGAGCAAAACTTGAAGCCCTGCTCGGAGTGAAAGCGTGGGGGGTGATGCCGACCCTGTGTATTGTGCATCCACACTTTCACTTTTGAAGAAACCGATATCGAAACACTACAAGGCTACAGTAGTCAGCGCTGAACATACTCAGCCGGAGATGTCGCCTCTATGCGTCAACGGGGCGTGGGCACCTTCTCAAGGAAAGAAACTACGGCAATGCTGCTCTATCTAAATCAGCCTATGATCACCTGAAGATGTATTGTTGTTGCTGCCACCACGATAACGGTAGCGGCCGGAGTCATCGTTCGTTGTTCCTGACACACGTTGTTCTCCACCACATAGCCGCGCATTCGTTACCATAGGTAATCAGGACGTCAGGGCGTCGTCATTGGCGACAATGCCGGTCGCCTCATCTGGGGAACCCTGGTCTATTGTTTGAATGTGGTGTCACACACGGTTACAGTAGTGAAAAGTAGATACGGTGTGCCGTGCGGATTGAATGACATTAGATCATAGCATGAAACAGCTACAACATTCCATCGGTGTCGGACGATGTCACCCGGCATTCTTCATGATAACCAGATTTTTTGCGGGACCGCTACTGTACTACCGCAGGCATTTCGTTGGTGTTGGATGTTTTTACCCGCCGTACCCTCTCATTTTCCAATATGGTCGTTCAGAATTGCTAGATGTTGAGGTACAGCAGGCAAGGGGGTATAGCTCAGTGGTTAGAGTGTTCCGTTTGCATCGGAAATGTCGGGGGTTCAAATCCCCCTTCCTCCACTTTTTATTCTTTTCCTTTTTTTTTCTTCTTCGACCGATAAAAAAAATGGTGTTGTAATTTATACAAGGAGTAGTAGTAGCTGCTGCGGTTAAGCACCATCCATATATACACGCGACAGCGCAGTAGTAGAATAAGATCATCACTACATAGCGGCACGAGGTCCATTGCCGCATGGGGCAAAAAGCTTGGGGTTTAGGTGTTGACGTTCTTTTAGCTCCGCTTGGCGTGTATTTTTCATAAATCAATCGTGGTGTATGTATGTATGTAGAAAAGAGTGTATGTTGAAACATTCATCATTCATTCACAAAAAGCTTCGGATGGTGCATAATAATCATCAAGCGCTACTCCTCCCCTCGGTTGTCCACGCTAGCTACGGTTCTTCCTCTTATATTACCTTCGTGTGCCTGCTGCAGCAGTAAGGCATTCGCATGGCCCGGTCAAGAACGAACAGGTTTTACCCGCCCGCGAAATGAATGGCGAGATCTCACGGGTTTGTTTGTAGCTATAAGCGACCCGTCGTCTCGTATTGAGCCTCCCGGATTATTTGCGGTCTATATCGGGTTTAGCGACATGTCCTGAATAGCGGCCACATAATTCATCGTGACACTATAGAGGTCGCTAAACTGCTGTAGAAGAAAGTGTGGACACTCAGCAGGCACATCCTCAAATGGGGGTTAGCCAGATAGCATGGAAAATTTTGAATTTTGTCACCGATACCCACGATGTGTCCAACGTGAAGGCCCCCCCACACCACCAAAATTCAAATTCAGTAGGGGACAGAGCAAAGAGAGAGGGAGGCAAGAGAGAGAGAGGGAGGCAAAGGGAGAGAGGGAGGCAGAGAAACGGAGAGGGAGAGGCCTATCGGTGCCAGGGTCGTCGGGTTCCAGAGCTTGGCGTGCCTGTTGGGGTACACACGGGTAAGCGAAATGGTTTGTTGTCGAACACAAAGAACTGCTGTACAGCAGCACTGCCGCACTCGCCAGGGCAGTTGCTTTGGGGCTAGGGAAGGAATCGAGCCTCTCAGTGCCGCAGCATGCTTGCCAGCGCATGCTACTCACGGGACAGATGGATTGAGCACTCAGCAGCCCGCGCTGGTATATCGGAACACATGGTTCAATGACAAAGACAAGGAGATGGACGTTTGGTCCCGTGCTCATCCTACAATATGCTACGGCGTGTGACACAAGATATCACCCCCCCCCCCTGGACCAATCTCGATTGTAACGTACGCCACGGACGAGGATGTATGAATCAAACGATACGTTTTCGAAAAGCTCTATACGAGACGTCTCCAATGCCACCATTGGTGGCAGCGCCACGCTCTCTCCCCGTCTCCATTTCTTGCCTTGGAGTTGTACAGCGGTATTCTTTCCACTTTTACCTACCCATCGTAATCGGCTCAGGGGGTGTGATATCTTGTGTCACGTACGCAGCAGTGGTACTGCGGTGGTAGTGTTGTAACGACGCATGTGTGTAGTCTACCACTTTTGTGTACCATGGTCATCGGCTCAGGGGGGGTCATGTCTTGTGTCACCTACGGCGGTACGGCCGTATGTCAATGTTGTCACGACGCATGTCTATGTATGTAGAGGAAAGCTTACAACCGGGTTGTGACCTGGGAAAGCGCAGAGTGGGCGTGTTGACGGCGGGCGAGATATGTAGTCCATTGCTGTTGTTGTTGTTGTTGTTGTCGTCGTTGCTGCTGCTGCTGTTGTTGTTGTTTACTGTTGTTGCTCTTTGTCTGCAGGGTAGAAACCGATCTGCTCAGTACCTTTACCATCCGTACCCCGTCGAACAACTGACCAGGATGCCTTTCATAACCATATGGACCAACTACACAGAGCGGGGGTCCGCATTTCGAAACATCAAACGATGTACTGGGAATAAAGAGGACCCAGTAAATTTCTACAAACAGCAGCGCTTGTTGGCCGTTTGGATAGCAAGCGGTCCGGCTGGATGTCCAGCCTGGAAGGCTACAGCTGGCGCCTGCGCTTGAGAAGTTGGCAGTCAAGAACTTCATTCTCTCACCTTTGCATCCAACACAAGAAAACTTGAGCACCATTTTGGTGAGCCAGGCTAAGAACCGCTAAATCAAAACCTATCTAGCGGTCATGCGTAGGATGAACCTACCCTAGGTTGCGTAAGATATCACACCATTTGTTGTTTGACCTTTTGTTTGAAAGGTGTACCCCCCCTTCGGTGGGGCAGTTGGCTTGTGACCACGGAAGGCGTCCTCGCCGGTCGGACCAGTAGGGACAGTAGAAGGTATTGAGTGGAGACCGGATCGGTTTTTTATGCGAAGACAACAACAGCAACAACAACAACCCCCTGGACCGATCTTCAGATGTAGATTACTCGGCAGGAAAAACAGCGACGTGATCTAGTACCCTCTTCGCGGGGGAATGACATGAGCTGACCGCGATCGGGATGGTCTCGCAGGATATCCTTATCCCAAACTTTCGGTTGTGATTTTCCGTAAACGTGACACAAGATAACACACACCCTGGACCGATTTTCGAGCGTCATGGGTGCGATGGCCAGCACCAAGCATGCTCCCTGAGTCGTGCCCTTTGGTCCCTGCTCGGCTTTTTGTCGTTCCCCATTGGCTGCTGCGGTCACTTGTTCCATCACCCGCCCCGTACAATGAGCGTCATGGGTGCAATGACCGGCATGGAGCTCCCCCCCCCGGGTCATGATCTTCTCTCTCCGCTCTGACTGTTATCGTGTCGTTCCCCACAAGGCTACGTCCATTCTGGCAACCTGGTCATCACCGACCCGCTACTACGTCCACTTGTTCATCACCCACCCCTTGCAATGAGCGTCATGGGCGTGATGACCGTCATGAAGCTTGCCCCTCGAGTCATGACCTTCGCTCTCCGCTCTGACTTTTTATCGTATCGTTCCCCACAAGGCAACTACTACGTCCACTCTGGCACTTGGTCATCACCGACCCCTTACGCAAGGCTACTACTACTACGTCCGCTTTTTCATCACCCACCCCTTGCAATGAGCGTCATGGGTACGATGGCCGGCATGGGCGGGGGGGGCGGAGGTCAAGCGCCCCAGCAGTTTCGGATAAGGACCAGGCCACCGACGGTAAGCTTTAGTTTTTTTTTGTTGCTGTTCATTTTTCCGACGTAGCAAGGAATGTGCAAGAACGCAATGCATGGCGGACGGGTTTTTACGATCAGCCACGTATGTATGTATCCTTCGATTGCTTCATGCACGACCAGTTTCGGTTTGCGCCGCACGCGATGTATACGAAAGGGCATGAAACCGTAGTTGAAGCAGAAGATAGGAAAAATTGTGTCTTATAGAAGCCGAAGTCAAACAGCGGCTGACTAGTCTAATGGTTTGATTTCGGCTTCTATTAAGCTTTGTCTCGGGGCTCGCGAACCCCACGACTAACTGTCATAGAAGCCGCGCTCGCTAGTCTAATGGTTTGATTTCGGCTTCTCGTAAGCCTTGTCTCGCGGCTCGCGAACCCCACGACTGACTTTCATAGAAGCCGAATCAAACCATTAGACGCGGCACTGACCAGTCTAATGGTGTGATTTCGGCTGCTATTGTCTGCGCTTCGGCTTGGCTACCCGTAGTCTGCGTAAGACCGTGGTTCCAAGCTCGACTGTATATTGCAGCAAGAAACAGAGGTGAGGGCGCCGAAAATGCAAAAAAAAAAAAAGGTATGTGCCGTCGTTTTTTATTTTTTCGTCCTCTTCGTCATGGAGAATCGGTTCAAGTGATGCGGTATCTAACGTATGCTACCTGCAGTAATGTGGTGTGATTTCCCCCAGGGGTGTGATTTGTTCCCCAGTGGTGTGATTTGTTCCCCCCGATATTTCACTGCCATGGCACCCACGCCCGGTTTTTCGCATCGTCAGGGTCCTGACATGATGGAGGTTGAGGATGACCGGCACCCGAAAATGTCCTCGCTCCACTCGGCCTCTCTCCCTCCCTGCTATCCGGGAGAGGTGAGTTGGATGTGGTGGTGGTGCTGCTGCTGCTGTTGTTGTTGCTGCTGCTGCTGCTGCTGCTGCTGCTGCTGCTGCTGCTGCTGTTGTTTGTTGTTGTTGCTGCTGCTGCTGCTGCTGCTGCTGCTACTGTCATTGTTGTCGTTGTTGTTGCTTTTGCTGCTGCTGTCATTGTTGAAGGTAATATCGACAAGATTAGCAAACGTTGGCTAGCTGTGCGTTTTCTACAGGAAGACTTACCTTTCGAGATTTAGCCACAGCAGTCGAAGGGCATGTGTTTTGAGCCTGTTTAGGCCTACCGTATACGACACAAGATAACACACACCCTGAACCGATTTTCAAAGCTCGATTACTTTAAGACGATACGTTTTCGGAGAGCTCTCGACGAGACGGTTTCAACGCCACCGTTTTCGGCGCTGCGACTCTTTCTGCGGTTGGGAAGTCGGACTTTGAATATCGGTCCAGGGGGGGGTGTTATCTTGTGTCGTATTCGGTACTCAGCGATTGTTTTGTAGTGGGAAGAGCAGCGAGGACTGCACGAGATCATATCGACAGCGGTATGTTGCTATCGACAACAGTTGGCTAACGCGGTGAGATTTTTGTTGCACTTGGGGGAGATGCGGTTGGCGAGGACTGCTGTATGACATCCTTATCGACAACATTATCCATCACATATCGTAATCGACAACGTTATGTAGCAGTGCGGTATTTTCGCTGCGAGGACTGTAAGAGATCGTATCGACAACATTAATTACATCCGACGCAATTGACTTCAGACATCACATCGACAATGTTATCTTGCTGTCGACAACATTGGCAAAAGCGGGTGCGATGTTTTTGCAGTTTCTGTTGGAGGAGCTGCGGTTAGCGCGGACTGCTGTATTTTATCCTTATCAGAGATCGTATCGACAAAGTTATGTATTATGGCTATCGGCAGTATTAGCTAAAACGGTGCGGTATTTGCCACGAGGACTGTAAGAGGTCGTATCGACAACATCATGTTGCTGTCGACAAAATTGACTTCAGAGATCGTATCGACAACGTTATGTTGCTGTCGACAAAATTGACTTCAGAGATCGTATCGACAACGTTATGTTGCTGTCGACAAAATTGACTTCAGAGATCGTATCGACAACGTTATGTTGCTGTCGACAAAATTGACTTCAGAGATCGTATCGACAACGGTATGTTGTTGTCGACAAAATTGACTTCAGAGATCGTATCGACAACGTTATGTTGTTGTCGACAAAAATGGCTAGAGCGGGTACGATGTTAATGCAGTTGCAGTTGGAGGAGTTGCGGGTGGCGAGTACTGCAGGAGGCCGTATTGCCAATATTGACTTAAGAGATCATACCGACAACGGTATGCAGCTATCGACGAACTTGCCTAAGGGGGTGCGATTTGTTTGCAGCTGGAGGAAGTGGTTGGCGAGGACTGCAACAGACCGTATCGACAACATGTGCTTGATTTATTCAGCACCTACAGACTATCGATCTAGTCAAGACCGCTCAGGTTGCAGATGGTCTACCGCAAAACGCCCCTCACGTTGCCAACTTATTTTATCGACAAAAGTGACCACTGCGGGTGCAAACTTGTTTTGTTTTTTTGTAGTTGGAGGAAGTGCGTTTGGCGAGGACGGAAGGCCTGCGGGAGTGCCTGAGCATCGTCAAGGAGTGCGGCGAAGAGGCTGTAAAAGAGGCCGGCACGGACTGCATTCGAAGCGTCTCCGATTTCATCGCAGGTATGTTGACCCTAGGTTGTTGTTGCTGTTGCCGTTGTTGTTGTTGTTGTTGGTGGTGGTGGTGGTGGTGTTGGTGTCGTTGTTGCAGTCGTCTTGACGTCAAGAAACCGTTCCGGTCTCCCCTCAGTACCTGCCAACTTGTGCGGACGCCTTCCGTGGTCACAAGCCAACTGCCCTAAGAGGGGTGACGTATGATATCACACCCCATGGACCGATTTTCAAAGCTCGATTACTCCACCACGAAGAGGATGCCGAACTTAAAGTTTGTGTTTTCGGAAAGCTCTCGACGAGACGGTTCCAAAGCATGCCTTATCTGCACCGTCTCGGCTTTTCCTGCCGAGATATCCAGCTTCGAAAATCGGCCCCGGGGGTGTGATATCTGTTGCAACCTACGGTATGTGGGACCGAGTCAAAATTATTGATAACTACCTCGAGGGTGGTTTCGGAAAAGATATCCTCGTCGGATGCTCTCCATTTTGGCACCCTCGTCGGTTGTTGAGCAGTCAATCGAGCTATCCCGTAGCACACTGTCTTCCTCTGCAAGACTAGACAACGGGCTAAAAGCGTTGCCATCTAGACTACGGAGCAATGCCGGCGATAGTTGTGCCAAAACAGGAATCACCTCGGCCGGGCACGCGGTAGATGTAGGCATGCGGTCCTTCGACGAAAACCTGACCAAAGCAAGCATGAAGTGCGAGCGTGCACAGAACGTTGGTCCGAAGGGGTGCGTGCGTGACGAATTGCACAAGTACGATCGCTTGTTCACATTGGTGGGGTAAGGAGGTCACCCACGGGGGGTAAGATCCCTTTACGACGGGCCAGCAACGGCTCTGCCCACGGGCTTGGGAATAGCGAGGCGGCTGGGCTCTAACAGCTCCGTTATATGTTACTCTATTAGTTTTTGTTGAGAAAAATACATACACACACAGAAAGACTACCCGTTCGAGATATACCGACAGTCGAACGGGATGTGGTATATATTACTCTCATTTACAAGCACTGGCGGCGACCATAAGGATGTAAACACCTCCCCCCCGGTAGAGTAGTGGAGGTAATGCTGCTGGTGCCTGACACTATCCTTGTGACGCCCAGCCTGACTACATGTGGTTTGACGTGTTCACATTTCACATGTGATTTGACGGTTTCGTGTTTTGACGACGGGGAAAATAAGGCAAGCACCGTCGTGGGAAAGGCGGGGGCAAATAAACAAAAGAATAGAATGAGAAAAGCTCTTGTATGACCCCGGCTGGTACGTCAGGTATTGTATTTACGCCGAAAGGCCTGTAAACCAGCGCCAGAATAGATAGATGGGACGAACACAGTAGTGCGTGCTACTGCTGTTGCACCCCGACACACACGTGTAAATGCTCGGCTTTGTGTAGTAGATAATCAGATACAGTATACTGCTGGTGCTTAAAAATCTATCCTTGATGCACCCTGACACGCATGCATTTTTACGGTTTCATTTTCGGCGACCCTCCTCCTATTATTCAGGGTGGCGTTTTCGCGACGGGGATGGAGGCGGTGCGAAGCATGTGGGGGAGAGCGACCTGGTTCCTCTGGCTGTCGTTGACGCAGGTGAGTCAGGATTCAAAAATGAAAAAACAAGTGGTATTCAGCTAACATTGCAGGCATGAATGCATTACCATCTTATCCTGGACCCTTTTCTATGGATAGAGATGAATTTGTTGTGTTGCATTAGGAAAAAAAAGTACAACTGGTGATTTTTTTTATTTCTTCAGCCGCACTGAGACGGACGTCTTTTCATTGGTCAGCCGGTCACATCGTCCGATGGTACTACCGTAGGTTGCATTAGGTATCACACACCCCGGCCCGATTTTGAAAGCTCGATTTCTCGGCAGGAAAAGCAGCGACGGTGCCGAAAATGGCGGTGTTCGAACCGTCTCGTCGAGAGCTTTCCGAACACGTATCCTTTGATTTCGGAATCCTCTTTGTCGTGGAGGAATGGAGCTTTCAAAATCGTTAAAGCAGGGGGTGTGGTGTCTTGTGCAACCACATACGGTAGATATGTAGTTTGAGCCTCTTGGTTTCGTGTCGGTCAAGAACACACATCGCTTTTCGAGGAACTTGTGTAGATGAGAAGCTTGAAACGCACACATCATCTTTCGAGGAACATGTGCAGATAGGTAGCTTTGAGCTTCTTCGATTCGTGTCGGTTAACCAAAAAAAAAAAACATCACAGGTCTCCAGCTGGGGGATCGGAGGTCCGCCGTCCAGCACATGAAGGAGGGTCTGGAGAGGGGCAACGGGGAATTGGGCGGGAGACGGCGGTGAGAGAAAAACAAAGATAATGCTGTGCTTTTGGCCCCTAAAAAAACAAAACATATTATTTTTGGGGGGAAAATAAATACACATACAGAAAGACTACCCGTTGGAGATATGCACTTTTTTTATGTTAATAACAACCTATGTGTATACGGTAATTGATCCCTTTAAGAGATTGCCTTCGCCTCACAAGTGAAGGCTTTTTTCTGCCATTTGTGAAACTCACACAAGTCAATGGAACCGGTCGCAAAATATTAACACCAAATATTTTCTTTTTTTTACCGTTGGGGAAAACCATGATTCTATTTCTTTTACCGCAATAACGGTTATTTTATTTTTGTTTCAGTTGGAAAGAGTCGTATTTCTATTTTATACCGCAATAACATTTATGTATTTTATTTTTTTACGCGGTTGGAAAGAACAATTTGTCTTTTTCTTGTCGTTGACAAAAAAAAAAACGTGGTTGTAGGCCTCAGGTGGTGGCGGTGCTGAGGGCTCAGGATTGCAGAACCGTGGAAGCAGCCTTCAAGCAAATACTGCGACAGGTGAGATCGACCCGCCGAACTCTTGTCTGTGTGCGTGTTTTTTTTTTTTGTAATATTCCGTACCGTGTATGCGAGGTATTTTTTCCGTACCGTGTGCGGGGTATATTTTTTAAAAACTTCCGTACTGTGTGTGCGGGGTAATTTTTTTTTGTCAATTTCCGTGCCGTGTGTGCGTGGTAATTGTTTTGTGGCAACTGCCGTGTCAAATATTCAATGAAAACACCGTCATATACCTGCCGTAAGCGGCGGAGAGATGCACCCCCCCCTAGACCGGCTTTCAAAGCTCGATTACTCCACAACCAAGCTTGTCTGTACCGTACCGTATACCGTACCGTGGTAGTCCGTAAGAGACAGAGAGATGGCACCCCCCCTATTCCAGCTTTCATAGCTCGATTGTTCCACAACCAAGCTTGTGCCAACAACAACAGTGATGATATTGGAAACATCTCATAGAGGGCTTTCTTTCCGCAGACGTTTCTGGCTCTTTCCGACCCCCATTGGTTGGGAGCAATCGAGCTTTGAAAGTCGGTCTAGGGGGGGTGCCATCTCTCCGCGTCCTACGGAATGCCACGGTACGTTACGGTACGGTACAGACAATCTTGGTTGTGGAGTAATCGAGCTTCGAAAGTCGGTCTAGGGGGGATGCCATCTCTCCGCCTCTTACTTAGTACCACGGTACTGTATACGGTACGGTACAGACAATCTTGGTCGTGGAGCAATCGAGCTTTGAATGTCGGTCTAGGGGGGGAGCCATCTCTCCGCCTCTTACGATAAAGGAAAGGCGCTCCGCTGACACCATCCCCACATGCAGAAGGTACGCACATGTACCTATATTTTCGGCAGCTCAATCAGAGCTCAATTGGATAATGGGTCGGTCAAATCGAAAGAATTGACGCTTCTCTTGGTGTTGTTTGTGCACCCCATTGCCATCTCCGACGTTGACAGTAAACAAAGTATTCACTGCTGTCCACAGATAATGAGCCCAGGACGTTGTCGTAGTCGCTAGACCGTTGACCTCGCATCCCTACATTACCCGCGAGGTCAAATTGTGCTTGTGCCGCCTCTCCGCGGCGTTCATTAGGGTAGCAATTTGTTCCACTTTTCTCGTTTGGATTGGGACCGAAAACAATCACACATTTCATTCTTTACAATAACTAATAAGTAATAATATTCACTGCTGCTGCCCACAGGAAAAGAGTATGAATTTTACTACCACAACAAAGCAGCCAGAATTATACCCCGAGTAGACTTTCGACCTTGCCAATTATCGTCCCTAAAAGATGCAGCGCTCGAAAGGAACCCTGCAGTTTCCAGACAGAAAGCAAGACAAACAAGAAAAATGTTAACGTGTGAACGGTAGCTTTCACGTTGAGCGTGAAGTATGTCAGTGTCAGTGAGCGGCGATTTTCTCCTCTGCACCATAACGCTCGAAAAGACAGAAAGTAAGACAACAAGGAAAAGGGAGCAAACAATGTTAGCATTAACTACAGTATACGACACAAGATAACACACCCCCAGGACTGATTTTCAAAGCTCGATTACGCCACGACGAAGAATATTCATTAAGGAAACGATGCAGTTTCGGAACGCTGTCGAAGAGACGGTTTCAGCGCCCCCGTTGTCGTCGCTGTGACTCTTTCTGCTGTTGAGAAATTGACCTCTGAAAATCGGTCCAGGGGGTGTGTTATCTTGTGTCGTATACGGTATGTCAGTACGCGGCGATTGCCTCCTCTGCACCATACCGCAGGTTGCATAAGACATCGCACCCCCTGGACCGATTTTCGAAGCTCGATATCTCGGCAGGAAAAGAAGTGACAGCGCCGACAATGGCGGCATTGGCACCGTCTCGTCGAGAGCTTTCCGAAAACGTATCGTCTGAACTCGGCATCCTCTTCGTTGTGGAGTAATCGATCTGTGAAAGTTGGTCCAGGGGGTGTAATGATGTCTTATGCAACCTACGGTAACATGCTCCGTTTTTGAGCGTGTGCACTTCACACACCACATGATTGAATTCATCCATCCATCCATGCCGACCTGCGCGTCTCTCCTCCTCCCACAAGTGCCACGCCAGGGGGGGGGCGCGTTCGCGCCGTCCCCTGTTCATGGACGCCCTCGAGGAGTGGTACGGCTCCTGCGCGATCTCATCTTCAACTTCAACTTGGGAGCCTTCGGGAGAGGAAGAGGGGGGCGAAGATGGCACTGCTGTGGACGGCGCAAGGGCCCCCGGCCGCAGGTACGCTAGTGCGGCATGATTGCAGGTGTGTTGGTGCTATGTATCCTGCTTGCCTCTGCTACGCTACCATACAGCAGTAGGGACGCTAGGGCGACATGATTGCAGGTGTGTTGGTGCTATGTATCCTGCTTGCCTTCGTTGCGCTACCATACAGCATTAGGCATACCGCTGTCTTTCGCAGCAGGTGGTGTGGCGCTGTCCTGCTTGCCTGTGTTGCGCTACCGTACAGCGGTAGGCATACCGCTGTCTTTCGCAGCAGGTGTTATGGTGCTGTCTTGCTTGCCTTTGTTGTGCTTCCACACAGAGGTAGGTATACCGCTTCCTTCTTCGAAAATCGGTGGTGTGGTACATATCTTTTGTCAAGTGATCCCTCTGGAGTGGGGTGATCCAACATATCACGATAACAACGTGACAAGACATAGGAAAGAGCGGATGAAAGAAAAAACGTGGCATGTTCCCTGGATGATTTCATTTTGTTCTGATTGTTGTTCTGTTCTGTTTTCAATTTGATTTTTGTTCACGCCGAAAACCCCGTGAAGTGCCTGCGAGCGAAGCGAGTGACGATGCCGCTCGCGTTCACTCCAAACCGATTACATCAGCAGCACACCAAACCAGTCTTTGAATCTTGGCATTGCCCCGCAGGGCAGCGGCACTGAATTATGTTCGGACACTATTGTTCTTTGTTTTTTTTCATTGCCCCGCAGGGCAGCGGCACTGAACTATGTTCTGATATTATTGTTCTTTGTTTTTCTTTCATTGCCCCGCAGGGTAGCGGCAGCGGCCGCGGCGCGGCGAAGGCAAGGTCCCGTGGTGGTCCTGCTGGAAGATGTGGAAGGTTTCGACAAGCAGGTCCGTGCGTGCATGCGTTTTCGTTTTTGCTTTTGGGGTATGAAACTGTTTCCATGCTGCTTGTTAGGTTTTGAGGGTGCGTCTTGTTGGGGGTGCGTTTTGTGGTTCACAGCTGCTGTTGAAAACGACGTACCTCTTTCGTATGTAGAACTTGTTAAGGACACACCTCGTGTTTTGCTAGCAAAAGTGTCCTTAGGCCGGGGAAGTGTCCTTAAGGTTGATACTCTTCGTTTTTTTGTGAGCCACCATGCCCGTGAAAAAATATTATCCTTAGCCAAGGGAGTTTCGTTAGTTTTGGTGTCCTTAAAGCGAGGCACAACTGTACGTGGTACGTACGTAGCACTTGTTAGCCCAACGCTTTCGGTGGCGTTCCTCGAAAATGTGGAGAGTTTTCGTATTTCATTTGCATTATCCCGCGTCAGGGTAGTCATACATGTACGGGAAGAACGACTGTTGTCCACGCAGGCGGAGGGTTTTCCACATGCGTGCGTTTTCGTGTTGCTCTGGGTCTGTGTTGTTCGTGGCAGCTAGTGTTCAAGCATACGTCGAGCTGCACTGTAGAGGCGGTACCCGCGAATGTGAACCGTGCCCAGAGAGAGAGAGAGAGAGTGGGCACGTTGTGCGGAGCAGATGTGCGGAGCGTTGAGGGGCTACGGCATATCACGCGTATCAGACGCCGTAGATCGATGTCAGGACCTACTACACCAACACAACATCCATCAGTAAATGTTGCCGATGTCGGCACCGAATCGGTAAAATCCAAAAAAACAGGTTCTCCGGGATCTCCTGAACGTGCTGGCGCAGCCTCCCTGCAAGAGCCGACGTGTCCAGCGGAAGACCGGGGGCACCGTGAATCGATTAGGGGGTACCGTGACGAGGTTCGGCAGGACGCTTCCTTTGGCACTGGTGGCAATCGCTTCGGTGAGTAGGGGGGGGGGGGGGATGGGGGGGGTCCCCGCGAATCAGTTAGGGGACACCTTGAATCGATTAGGAGGCACCGTGAATCGATTAGGGGCACCGTGAATCGGTTATTTAGAGGGCACCGTGACTAGGTTCGGCAACACTCTTTCGATGGCACTGGTGGCAATCGCTTCGGTAGGTTTCGTTGGTGCTGGGGGGGGCGGTCTGAGAACACGGCTGGTGGAGGTGGTTGTGTTGGTGGTGTTTTCCGATGTTGTGGCTGCTGCTGTGCTCGTAGGTGCCAGATGTTGGTGATGTTGTGTTGTTGTTGTTGTTGTTGTTGATGTTGGTGGTGTTGGTGACCACGGGAGTGAAGGCACTAGCAGTGATGTGCCCCCCACCCCCCCCGTTTTTGATGACGGCGGCCGCCGTATTTGCTAGTGTCGCCGGCATTGACTTCCCGTCGGCGTTGTTGGCGGCTGCGTTCGCACTGAAAGGCGCAGCAACGGCAGCAGGAGCACCAGTAGCACCAGCAGCTTCAACAGCGGCAGCAATCGGCGTTTTACTGCGAATCGTACACTTGCAAAAATAATTCGACATACCTTCAACAGCCTATAGAAGCCGAAATCAAACCATTAGACTAGTCAGCGCTGACTAGTCTAATGGTTTGATTTCGCCTTCTATAAAAGTTAGTCGTGGGGTTCGTGAGCCCCGTCACTTTCACTTCCGAGGAGGGCGACTCCCCTTGCCAGCGCTACTATCCGTCCAATCTTTATTTCGCTTCATATCACTCGCCACCCACATCCTGCAGAATGTTCCAGGGTCCACGAGTCCTTCCGTCACCCATACTCTGGCCGAGAGTATCCAGGGTCTCAGGAAAAAAAACGCTTCAAAGTGTTCAGCCTGGGTCTCGAACCCACGACTAACTTTTACAGAAGCCGAAATCAAACCATGGTTTGATTTCGGCTTCATCTTGCACGACTATGAGTACACCCCCCCGTTCCTCTCGGGTGAAAAACCCGGCGTGCTCCGCCTCGGCTTTGTAGGGATGCGAGGTCAATGGTCTCCCCTCGGTGTTTGCCATCGGGATTGGGGTTTCGTCGCTTGGCAACGACGTTGTAAAACAAGCCAATTCACTTCGTGAACTCGGCAACCAGGTTACCGTTTTTTTTTTTTTTTTTACCTCGTTTTTTTTTTTGGCGGTAACCATAATGGTGGTCGAGTAGATCATGTTGTGCGGGGTCGAGAACCCTCACTCCGCGCAACGGGGGATGATCGTACCACGTTGTGTTAAAATGGTCAAGCTTCCTCGAGGCAGTTACACAGTGCTTACAACTGTCTCTGGAAGTGAAAGCACCAGAAAATAAATTAAGTCATACGTAGCTGTCATCCGTACGCAAGGAAGTAAGCACAAGATGCCGAACACCCTTAGCAGGATGCAGCTCACCCTTCATGCGACTCTCCAATTACCTCACGGCGCTTCGCGCTTGGTGATGTGAGAGCCTGGTCCTGTGAGAACCCGGCGTGCTCCGTCCCGGCTTTGTAGGGATGCGAGGTCAATGGTCTAACGACTACGGCATGCACGACTATGAGTACACCCCCCCCCCCCCCCCCTCCCCTTAATACTGTTTGTGGTGCCACATCTACCTTCTTGTTATTAAAAACTTCGAAAAACTTGTGTCGTTGGCGCTTTCGCACAACTGGCCGCAGGCGCGCGTGGGTTTCCCGATGGACAGGCTTTCTCCGTCAGCGGTGAGGCAGCTATCTCCGGAGAACTTCTACTTCCCGTCGTCCGTGGAGTGCATCGACTTGCTCTATGAGAAGCTCTTCGTCCAGGTAAGGTACAGCAGTGCTGTACTGCAAGGCGGGATAGGGTACCTTTTTTGGTCGAGCGTATGAGAAGCTCTTCGTACAGGTACTGTAATTCGGGACACTGTACCTTTTTTGTCGTACTCTACCAGAAGATGATTGTACAGGTAAGGTACAGCAGTGCTGTACTGTAAGGCGGGATACTGCACCTTTGTTTGCCGGTCGTGCTCCATGACAAGCTTTTCATACAGGTACTGTAAGGCGGGATAATGTACCTTTTTTGACGCGCTCTACGAAAAGCTTTTCGTCCAGGTAACGTACAGCAGTGCTGTACTGTAAGGCGGGGTACTGCACCTTTGTTTGTCGGTCGTGCTCCATGAGAAGCTCTTCGTACGGGTACTGTAAGGCGATATAATGTACCTTTTTTTCGTCGTGCTCTACGAGAAGCTATTCGTCCAGGTAAGGTACAGTGCTGCGCTGTTAAGGCGGGATAGTGTACCTTTTTTAGGTCGTGCTCTATGAGGCTCTCTGTCCAGGTACAGTTCAGTGGTGTACTGTTAGGCGAGATATCGTACCTTTTTTTGTCGCAGTCTATGAGAAACTAACTCTCCATCCAGGCACAGCAGTACGGTCTAGTGATGTACTGTAAGGCGAAGTGAGAGGGGTCGGGGTACCGTGCCTTGTTTGGTCGTGTAATCGGTGTTCGATGTAATTTTTGCTTGCGACGCACTTGCCCATTGATAATTGTCTTTTCGGCCGATTCGAATCAATATCTTTGCTCCAGGCAGATAAATAGATGCTGGTTGTCTCGCCGTAAGGCGAAACCATTACCGGTAGTATTTGCTGATGTTCAACCCCGTTTGTTTCCCAAGGAATTAAACCGTGGAAAAACCGTCCCGTGGTACGTACTGTAACAGCGCCGGCTGCCGGTGTGGATGGGAGGCCGCTTGCTCTCTTGGATGAAGACTACGTTCGACGACACTCACCTCTCTCTGGGGATGTTCTCCCGCCAGGTACTTACTGTATGGGATATAGTGTGGTTATAGTAATGCTTATATATTCCATGTTATCTAGGCTATAGCATCACACTAAAGAACCCATATAATAGCATGATACCGTAGGTGACATAAGATAACACACCCCCCGAACCGATTTTCGAGGCCGGTGTTGTTATTATACTGTATTCCTAGGGTCATGCTAGGAATGGTCGCTATATTGGTTTGAACGAAATCAAATGGCAAATTTTCTGAAAGCTCGCTCTCGACGAGACAGAGTTCCAACGCAGAAAACCGTAGGTTTGCGTAACATACCACAACCCGTTGGACCGAATTTCAAACCTCTACACACAGCGCCCGTTCATAGTTTCGGCCAAGGGTGGAGTTGTTACCGTATTCCTAGGGTCATGCTACGAATGGTCGCTATATATAGGTTTTAGTGTAGAGGCTCTTAACCACTAACAGCTTACAAATGGTGCTCAAGTTCTTGAACTTTGATTTTTTTTAAGGCTCAGTTTCTTAACTCCTGGGTTCGTATGTGCAGTCGCGTTCTGTAACATGGTAACCATCGTGCGGTTGTTCACGGTGCAACCGTAGGTTGCGTAAGATATCAGACCTACTGGACCGATTTTCAAAGCTCGATTACTCGGCAGGCAAAGCGGTGACGGTGCCGAAAATTGCGGCGTTGGAACCGTCTCGTCGAGAGCTTTCCGCTTTCCGAAACCCAAACCCATGCGGTCGTTGAATTTCACTTTCTATTTTTTCTTTTGGTGATGTCGAAGGCGACATCGTTTTCGTTCATTTTGCAACGAAAATTGGCAGCGCTAGAGGACTCATCTTCCAAAAAATTTTCGAAGTGTTGTTGTGCATTTATCTTTTCTGCGTTGTGTCCAGGTGATCATGGCCGCCTTCCTGCACTTCAACCGCCCGGCGAGCTACCTCTGCCTTCAGCACTGCCGCCCCTGGCTCTGGAGGTATTAGATGCACATACGGTAGGGGCTCCGTTTTCGGGACCCGCACAACGGCATACCCTGTGTAGCCAAACATACCTTTCCTCTCGTCAGCCAATCATATTAAAGCAAGCGGGGTCCTTTTTATTTTCATTTTTATGCTGGTCCTCCCTCCCCAATACACAGCCTTCCGGCCATCAGCCAATCAGATTGAAGCAAACTGTGGCCTTTCGCTTTCGAGGTGTCCAATCACAGCCTTCCGGCCAACATTGGCCCGTCCTTTTCGTTTTCCAGGCGTCTGACCACAGCCTTCCGCCCGTCAGCCAATCAAATTGAAGCCCTCATCATTTTCCAGGTTCCCAACCACGGCCTTCCGCCTGCCAGCCAATCAGATTCGTTTGGTCCGTTTCATTCTTCGCAGGTCCTCCTTGTCGAACTGCCCCGTCGAAGCGATGACCCACATGAAATACAAGCTGGCACGGGACTCGAAGAGCATGCCGGCTAACACGCTCCAGGCGAGCCTCCCCGGGGTTCCGGCAAGACTCGACCCCCAACAGGTTTGTGTGTGTATGTGTTATTATTATTAGCATCGAACGCGCTAACCGGCTGACCAATGAAAAGACGTCAGTCTTAGTGCGGTTGAAAACACAAAACACTTATAAATGCCGTTAACAACTGGGACCCCGTGAGGGGGCGGCATGGTGTGTGTGTGTGTGCGTGTTTTTTTTTTTCAAATTATTTCTCCATGAAATCTTGTGTTTGTTTATTTTTCGAAAATATGCATGAGCACTTGTGTGTGATGTTCTTTATAGCATCCACCGCGCTAACTGCCTGACCCATGAAATGACGCCAGTCTCAGTGCGGTTGAAAAATCAAACATCAACGGCAACACAACCACAAAACACCAACACCAACAAACGACCACGCCAACAGCTGTCGTTGGTGGGTTGCGCTGTATGCTTTTGTCGTTCGGCATCCCTTGGTGCCGAGTTCTCTATTTCTATCTCCCTCTCTCCCTCCCTCCCTCCCTATTTCGGGTTATTTGCCGGCTGCTCCTGTTCCTGTGTGTGTGTACTGGAGCTGTCATGGCAGCGCCTTGAGTTACACATTCGTGCTGCAGCTGGCCAATCAGAACACGTAGCAGAACCTAGTGGGGGGCCCTCAGTACCAGAGACGACGCAAGATAACACATCCCCTGGACCGATTTTCAAAGCTGGATAACGCCGCGGCGAAGAGGATGCACAAACGAAACAATACACTTTCGGAAAGCTCTCGACCAGACGGCTTCAACGCTGCCGTTTTCGGTGCTGCGACTCTTTCTGCTGTTGAGAAATCGAGCTTTGGAAATCGGTCCACGGGGGGTGGGTGGGTGTACTCATAGTCGTGCATGCCGTAGTCGTTAGACCATTGACCTCGCATCTCTACAAAGCCGGGACGGAGCACGCCGGGTTCTCACCGGACCAGGCTCTCACATCACCAACCGCGAAGCGCCGTGAGGTATTTGGCGAGTCGCATGAAGGGTGAGCTGCATCCTGCTACAAGGGTGTTCGGCATCTTGTGCTTACTTCCTTGCGTACGGATGACAGCCGCGTATGACATAATTTATTTTCTGGTGCTTCCACTCCGGAGACAGTTGTAAGCACTGTGTAACTGCCTCGAGGGTGCTTGACCAATTTGACACAACGTGGTGCGACTATCCCCCTTGCGCGGAGTGAGGGTTCTCGACCCCGCACGACATGATCTCATTCATGGTTACCGCCAAAAAAAAAAAAGGCTTAAAAAAACGGTAACCTGGTTGCCGAGCTCACGAAGTGATCGGCTTGTTTTTCAACATCGCTGCCAAGCGACGAAAACCCAACCGCGATGGCAAACACCGGGGGGAGTGGCTTGTTTTACAACGTCGTTGCCAAGCGACGAAAACCCGAACCCCGATGGCAAACACCGGGGGGGGGGAGGTCCGGGGAGGGGGGTGTTATCTTGTGTCGTATACGGTACCGCGGGTATGTGCCTGTTACCGTACATCTAGCGGAGGAACAAAGTAGCTGACGCACGCGGGCCCTCCCATGCTTTTGGCAGGCGGCGGGATTGATCGAGAAGGGGCTGCGGAGGGAGGCCAGCATGGCTCTGCGGGTGTGGTTCTTCCACAAGGTGGTCCGCAGTAAATAGCGAGGTGGTCCGCAGTAAATATTGCAACCTTCCCAGGGTTGTTGGTTGAACTAAACTTGTCGGATAATTGCGTGCAATTGTGGGAAGTTGGGTGAGGGATGGGGTCTGTGTACCCCGTCCCTGATATATTTTCCCCTACGACTCTAAACTTCTCGCAAGAAAGGCGGTCCGTAAGGTGACGCCGAATTTCGCCCCCGTGTTTACGTTCTTTTTTGGCGGTGGTCGTGCTGCGGTTTGTTGTCGTGTGTTGCTGCTGCTGCTGCTGCTGCTGCTGCTGCTGCTGCTGCTGCTGCTGTTGTTATTGCTGTCGAATTTCGCCCCCATGTTGATCGTCGTTGTTGTTGTTGCTGTTGACCCAAACAACTCACACAGCGACCCAGGTCCTCCAAAACTTCACCACATAACGTTCGACTGAGTGAGCTTTTATCTCGAACGGGTAGTCTTTCTGTGAGGTTTTGCTTACTTTCTAAAAGCACCTTCAACGAGACTGGCTGCCCCATGTTTCGGGACGCCCTGCACTCGATGTCGAGATTCCGGGGGCTGCGTGTGTGTGGTGGTAGGGCAGTTGGGAGACGCCCCCCCCGGCACTCTCTCTCTCTCTCTCTCTCTCTCTCTCTCTCTCTCTCTCTCTCTCTCTCTCTCTCTCTGCTTCAACTCTCTCTGTTGTACAGTAGAGGTGCCTGTTTGGTGCAGGTACAGCAGTATCTGCCCACCAAATTCACCGGCACAATACCGGATTGGCACGAAAATGGCACAAGATAACAACCCCCCCTGGACCGATTTTCAAATCTCGATCTCTCTCAAAAGGAGAAAGGTTCACAGCGCCGAAAACGGTGGCGTTGTAGCTGTCTCGTCGAGAGCTTTCCGAGAGTGTATTGCTTCATGCATGTATCCTCTTCGCCGTGGCGTAATCGAGCTGGGGTGTGTTATCTTGAGTCATATACGGTATTCAAGGCCTTGAGAATGACTTCGAAATTCGGTGTGTGCACGCCGAGAAGACTGGCCCTTTTCTGGGAACTGGCCTGGCCCTGTTCAATCGGCACTAAACAGGGGTCTCTCTTTTTTTTTTTTCGCTTGAAATTGTCGCTAGCAACATTTGTGCGAAAATAATCATCAGTGTAGACCTAAAAGAGACTCGAAATAGACTCGAAATAAGTCCAGTACCCAACCGGTTTTCCTCCACTCACTGAAATGACTCCACCACATCCCTTTCGACTGTGGGTAAATCTCGAATGGGTAGTCCTTCCGTGTTTGTATTGATTTTTCCTTAGTACTCCAACCCGGGGTCACACAGAATGTTCCTCTTCCTGAGACCCCCCCACCCATCCCTCCTGCAGTGCTGTGCCTTCGATTTTTAAAGCGAGAAGAATACAGCACGGACGTACCTCTACTGTACGTAAATAGGAAGGTCGAGAGGGGGTGATATCTTACGTCACCTACCGTATATGTATCAGGGTCCTGGGGGCAACCGTTGCTCTGCTGTGCTTCTGACAACAAGCTGTCCGCCTTCAATCACCCCGCTCCTCTGCCCCTTTTTATTGATTATTTAGCATTTACACGTTCGAGATGCAACCACAGTAGTCGAAAAGGATATGCTGGAGTATTTTGAGTCACTTTTATTTTTGTTGTGGAAAGGTTTGGAATATGTTCCTCAGCTCCTTGGAAACACCCGCCCCCTTATTCTGCAGTTTCTTTTTTTCTCTTTTTTCCCGAAAAGGTTTGGAACGTACGCCTCAGGTCCTCAAAACCACCCACCCCACCCTTTGTCATCCCCGTGTTACTCTGCGTTTTTTTTTTACCGGAAAAGGTTTGGAGCGTGCTCCTCAAGTCGTTGGAAGGGCGTGAAACACCCGTGGAACTGCTGAGGATGGCCGACGCGGTTCTGGGACGGCCTGGCCGGCAAGGTGCGGTACACGCCCCATGTGCAAATCGTATGGGTTTTAGTGTGGTAATAGTAAAACCTATAATATAGGGTCAAGTATGGCACTCTAAAACTCGTATAATAGCAGGTGTATTGGTTTATGTATAACCATTCTGAATCCTATACAACGAAGCACCATGTGTATGCCGGGCCGGCAAGGTGCGGTGCACGCCCCATGTGCAAATCGTACGGGTTTTAGTGTGGTAATAGTAAAACCTATAATATTGGGTCAAGTATGGCACTCTAAAACTCGTATAATAGCAGGTGTATTGGTTTATGTATAACCATTCTGAATCCTATATAACGAAGCACCATGTGTAGGCCGGGCCGGCAAGGTACGGTGCACGCCGCATGTGGAAATCGTATGGGATTTAGTGTGGAAAAAGTTAAACCTTACATTCTTATTCTTTACTGTGTAGGCTCAAGTATGGCAGGTTACAACTCGTATAGTAGCAGGTGTATAGGTTCATGTATTACGCTTCTAAATCCTATACAACGAAGCACCATGTGTAGGCCGGGCCGGCAAGGTACGGTGCACGCCGCATGTGCAAATCGTACGGGTTTTAGTGTGGTAATAGTAAAACCTATAATATAGGGTCAAGTATGGCACTCTAAAACTCGTATAATAGAAGTGTATTGGTTTATGTATAACCATTCTAAATCCTATACAACGAAGCACCATGTGTAGGCCGGGCCGGCAAGGTACGGTGCAAACCCCATGTGCCAGAAAGGAAAATAAGCCCTACACTAAAACCTACCAGTATATAATATCGTTCATTTGTAGCCCCACATTAAAACGGGTGTATATCGGCCTTTGCCTTTTGTAGCCCCACACTAAAACCTTTAACCCTCGGTCAAACCTAGAGGTTTTATGGTCGGGCCCTACATGTCTGTACAGTCGTGGTCTCGGTTTAGCGGTTCCTTCCCTGTTTAGCGGGACGCCCTGAAAAGCGGTTCCAGAATCCCGTGGCACCGCTGCACCTCGGTAGTCAAACTTCTGTATATAACTGCCAGTCCGGTTTACCGGCGATGGTCCCAAAAGCGGTGTTAACATTTTGTAACACGTTGGGCCTGTACCGCACTGCTGCTGCTGCTGCTGCTGCTATTGCCACAGCCGCAGCCGTAGTCGCTTATTCCATCCATTGATTCCTTCCACACCGTACCTCCTCGGCAACTAACTAACCGTACTGCTGCTGCTGCTGCTGCTGCTTGCTGATGGGTGTGACGGTTCGATCGAATCCGCTTCTTAAGCTGGAGGCACAAGGGAAGGGGCGGGCGCCGGGCTTGACGTCGGAACGATGCGGCAACGTGCGGTGAAGCTCGGCAGCTCGGTGCGCATTCTCGGCCTTCTTTCCGCTTCGAAGAAGTCCAGGCGGTACTACGCGGAGCTGAAAGAGGTATCTACACCCGTGTTTTGTTCTGGCAACTGCAGCGTTTTTGTGCGTTACTATGGTTATAGTTCTTGAACGATGCCTAGTCTTCAGGCTTCTTTCCTCTTCGAAGAATACCAAGCGCTTCTACGCGGAGCTAAAAGAGGTATCTACACCTGTGTTGTGTTCTGGCAAACTGCAAGCTTAGCTGTTGCTGTTTTTCGGTATGAACCAAAACAAAGCCTTCTACAAGTAGACCTTTGTAACTTTTCTATAACCTGGACAAGGAACGTTGCACGTGTGTGCTGCAATAGCAGTAGAAGGTGCTGCATTACACGAGCGAGGTGTATGGCCGTCGCCGATAGCTATCGATCGTGGGAGTTCTCTTTTCAAGCCATAACTGTCTGTCGGTATTATAGAGCAATTCTATGTCTCGGGTACTGACGTTGCAATGTGCACAACCAAACACTTGGAACCCCCAACCCTCCGCCCCTTTTGCCTTATTCAAATGCAATTCCCATATTTTTTGTCACCGAGGCAAGCAATCGCGTTCACCCCCACCCCCTGTGGGAACAAAGCTCCTACCTTTGAGGAGGCTTGGCCAATGGTCTAACAGATCAGGCCTGTAAATAGCCCCCCCCGCCCCCCCCGGTGTTTGCCATCGGGGTTTGGGTTTTCGTCGCTTGGCAACGACGTTGTAAAACAAGCCCCCCACTCGGTGTTTGCCATCGGGATTGGGGTTTCGTCGCTTGGCAACGACGTTGTAAAACAAGCCAATTCACTTCGTGAACTCGGCAACCAGGTTACCGTTATTTTTTTTACCTCGGTTTTTTTTTTTGGCGGTAACCATAATGGTGGTCGAGTAGATCATGTTGTGCGGGGTCGAGAACCCTCACTCCGCGCAACGGGGGATGATCGCACCACGTTGTGTTAAAATGGTCAAGCTTCCTCGAGGCAGTTACACAGTGCTTACAACTGTCTCTGGAAGTGAAAGCACCAGACAATAAATTAAGTCATACGTAGCTGTCATCCGTACGCAAGGAAGTAAGCACAAGATGCCGAACACCCTTAGCAGGATGCAGCTCACCCTTCATGCGACTCGCCAAATACCTCACGGCGCTTCGCGCTTGGTGATGTGAGAGCCTGGTCCGGTGAGAACCCGGCGTGCTCCGTCCCGGCTTTGTAGGGATGCGAGGTCAATGGTCAAACGACTACGGCATGCACGACTAAGAGTACACCCCCCCCCCCCCTGGGAGGGCAATGGTTTAAAGACTACGGC